TTCCAGCACCACAATCTTGATGCCCTGTTTATATTTACAAATGCACCCGGCCGTAGCGCCTTTAATAGGGTTGAACGCCGTATGGCACCACTAAGCAAGGTACTGTCCGGAGTAATTTTGCCTCATGACCGCTTTGGAACACATCTAGACGCGTCTAGTCGCACTGTCGACAAGGACTTAGAGCGGCAAAATTTCAAGCATGCTGGCGAGGTGCTTGCAGAAATTTGGAGCAGCCTCGTCATTGATAAACATCCGGTGAAAGCCGAATATGTTGAACCTGGATCAGAGGAAGAGTTGCCTTCGGAGCCACCTGCTGAGTGGTACAGCCAACACGTACGCGAGAGCCAGTACTTCTTGCAGGTAATTCATGAACAAAAATGAAACTTAAATTAATTATTCAGCTTTGAGGGATAAAAAGTCTGCAATATCTTTGAAAAAGACAAACACAGAATGTAGTTGATATCTGCAAAACTTTGTTTTCACCTCAAAACATTGCTCTTTGCTTATTTCTTACCCCTTTTATCCCTTTGCAGATAGCAAAATGTGATGATTCATCCTGCTGTTCACCTATGCGTAGTGACCTGAAAAAAATACTACCAGACGGATTTTTCCCTGCTCCTTTTCCAATGCGCCGTGGAGATAAGGGTTTTTACGTACCGAAACCAGAAGAAGTAGAAGAGACCGACTCCTTTCCGTCGCTGATGGTGCGTCTAGGAAGCAATTTGAAACCCTCTGGTGAGGGCTTTCCCAATCTACTCCCATATGATATGTACTGCCCAACGGTGCGCAACAAAATCCTAGGTATGATAAAGTATAGATAATAATTGCAAAATTATTTTTTTTTCTTATCAATATTTTATTTTTATAAAGCTGTTTTTCCCCTTGTTTTTATTTTAAGGACGAACATGCAATCAATGTGGGCACTACTTTGCTTCAATTAAGAATGCCACTTCGCATCAGCAAGCAATGCACAAGAAAGCTGCTGCGCCTGCGAAATTGCAAGTGGCCAAAATACTTACTCGACGTGCACACGAAGTTCTCTGTGAAGTGGACCCCCACGAACTCGGCTGGGAGGATGAAGACCTGATCGACGACTCTTTGGCGTTTGAGCCATATGCTCTTGAGACTGAAGATACCTTACCTGTTATAAATTCCGTAGCTGACTGGTTCTCGCCGTTGTGGACCTTGGACTCTGTATAGGCAGCCTCTTAGAAGAATAATTGCCATATACATATTTTCAGCTTCTGATTCATGTGTAATTGTTGGTTGGCATATTCTTCTTTTTTAAGGTAAAAAAATTCTATTTTTATCTACGACAATGTTAACTGTTTTTTTAAGAACAATCTTAACGATTTCGGTTACTTTCGAAAGAAAATAAACCTTGAAATAATATACATTTTGAAATTTTCTTTCGATTCCTATTTTTGTGCCAATCTATGCATATTGCGGGGTTTTACGGCAAAACACGAAAAATCCACGTGGAAAAGGGGGAGGGGTCCGGAAAATTCCACGATTGTCCACGAGGGGGGAGGGGGGGGGTCGGAAAGTGCCCAAAATGTGTCCACGTGGTTTATGGACAGCCCCTTACCT